ATAAAATAAAATGCATTCTCTATGCAGGAGTCAAATAATATATCAATATAACTCACAATGTTCCATAACTTAAACCTTAAGTCCACCGGGATGATCTAATAGAATACTATATAGCCAGGCAGTGGTGGCGCACGCCTTTAATTCCAGCACTTGGGAGGCAAAGGCAGGCTAATCTCTCTGTGAGTTCAAGGCCAGCCTGATCTACACAGCTAGTTCTAGGACAGCCAGGGTTCAAAGAGAAACCCTATCTCCAAACAAACAAATAAAATAAAGGGATACTAAACACTGAGTGGCCCATAAACAGTAGAAATAATTTCCAGAGTCTGGGAAGCCCATGATCAAGGCACTAGTATCCCTGTTATGGGCTGAAAAATGGTTAAGTAGTTGAGAGTACTTGCTGCTCTTCCAGAGGACCTGAGTTTGGTTCCCAACACATATATTAGGTAAGTCACAACCACCTTAAGCCCACCTGCAGGAGACCTGACACTTCTGGCCCAGAATGGGTGCCAGCACTCAAGTGTATATACTCACATGCAAACACACACACACCTACACATAACTTTAAAGTATTAAATAACAAATCTTGATTTGTAATTATTAAAAAGCGAAACCACACCTTATCCTTGTCTTCTCTCTTCACTCTCGTCTCATACTTCATTTGCCATCTGCAAATATAATCTAGCAAACCCCCACGGTCTCCTAACTCCTCAGATATTCCTTTCTTAACTTTGCCTCTCCATTTGTTATTCCTTGCTTGAACTGTTCTATCTCAAAGGGCTACATCCACTCATCTTCTGGCTGAGCGCAAATGTATCCCATTCAGCAAAGCCTTCTCTTAACCTATAAATCACCCTCCTCAGTAAGAAATAAAAACTACTTTATGCCTTTTATTAGACTTTTACAATGTGTTGGCAACATTTTAACTATCTTCCAATTTATCTTCTAACTCTACACTAGGGTTTTAACTATATAAGAACTCTATCTATAATGTTCTTTGCTGCTCTATCAATATAGTCCTGGGTTTGTTGTTAGCACCAAATCAGTGCCAGTCTTTTGCTTGAAGTATCAGGAGTACAATAGGGAAAAGGGGGCGGATAAAAAAATGCCTCCCCTTATGGAGATAATAGTCTACAGTTTAGAGAATAAAGTACACTGTTAATCTATTCAAAGGGAGCCAAAACAGATCAAACAATGGAGAAAGGAAGAACCAAAGTGTTATCAGGAAAGTCTCCCTTCAAAAAAAGTTCTTATGGGGTCCTGGGTCAGTGATATTTACTAGTCTAGTATTCTCTGCAAAGCTTTGAGTTCTATCCTCAGCACTGCCAAAAGAAAGAAGAGAGTCTTAAGTTAAAAGTAGGGACTGGGACACAGGCGTAGCACTTGCTTTTAGTTCCCCGACTCAGGAAGCAGAAACAGGTGGATCTCTGGGCCAGCTTAGTTCTTGGTCAACCAGTGACACACAGTAAACAAATTAATATAAACTAAAAAAAGAAGTTGAGCTAGCATTCTAAGTAAAGAAATATTAAGTGCCGAGATCCTGAGTGTGCAGCATGCTTGATATATTTGGATATATCAGTTGGATATATACCGGATCAGAAAGATTGAAAGGCAAAGTAACGTAAAATCAAAGGTATAACATGGGGACACAAATAGGGCCTGAAGGTATAAGCAATTTGGTTTTATTCTGAATCAGACAGAAGCTACTTCAGATATAAGACATAAGCTGAATTATTTTTGTTTCTTCCTTGAAAGTGTCTTGGACATGCTAGTCAAATATACTCCAACTAACCTACATTGCCCAGCCCCTGAACTACTTTTAAAAGAGATAATCTGGGAGTTATTAATTTATTAGTTATTACATTATTAGGGGACCAACTTAAAGATTATTAAAATTACCGTGTATGAGATGAATCTAGAAGGTATGGTAGGGTTCTGAACTGATTTTGAAGAAGCACCTACAAGATTTATTGACCTATGATCTCTGATATAAAGAAATCTATCAAAAGCAATTAAAATTTCCAAATCCAATAACTGGAAGAACTATGTTGTACTATAAGCCATTAAGTATTCTAATATAATTAAAATGTATGTCAAATATTTACTAATATTTAAAAAAATGTAGAAATAACAGGAAAGTGTTTTTAAAAGGTCAACTATACCCATGCACAATTCAGTGAAATTGTATAATTAGTACTGCATGAAACATACGGCGTTCTAGTTAAAAGATAAAATTTCAGTTGTCACCATGATATAACTGTGTTCGCATTTATGTATTTGGAACATAATTTAAAATCACCAAAGCATAAGTAAATAAAAAAGTTTAAAGCATAAAGCCTCAAGATATAACAATATAGCTGGGTGGTGGTGGCACACACCTTTAATGCCAGAGAGGCAGGCAGATCTCTATGAGTTTGAGGCCAGCCCCATCTACAGAGTAGGTTCCAGGATAGCCAGGGCTACACAGAGAAATCCTGTCTCAAGAAAAAAAAAAAAAAAAAAAAAAAGCAAAGAAAGGAGAACAAAATAAATGACAATATTTAGGAGGAAAAATGAAGAGGAAAGTAAGACAGAAAAGGAACATCCACTGATACTAAAGCTAAATGAGAATGTGGTATTCTAAAGGCAAGGTGAAGAAAATGGAATTAATTCCGTTAAGTAAGCTAACACAGAAATTACCACTGGTTTTAAGGTCATGATCACCAGGAACAATGATTAGTATAGTTTTGGAGGAGTTAATTAATAGAGAAGGTAGAACAGTACAGATTGAAGAGAAAAATGGGAACAAAGCTGCCCTATAGACCACTCTTTCAGGAAGTTTACCACAAAAGATACACAGGTAGAACTGAAATGTTTGGTGTGTGCTTGTGCTTTTTTAACAAACAAAACTATAGTATGAATGAATATCAATTAAAATAATATGTTAGAAATTTTTTAAGCTGAGGATAGAAGAAAAATGTAGTAGCACTAAGAAAACAAGACAACTCCTCCCTAGTAACTGCAAGGAAGGCAGAGACACTAGCAGGTGGACACATCTGGGAGACCTTGAGACATCTTAGTTCACAAAACTAGCAAACTACAAACTACGGGCCAAACCGGGTCAACAGCCTGTTTCATGAACTTCACTGAAACATAAGCTACATATTATCATCTATGACTACTTTTCATATTACAATAACAGCTGATAGCAGTAACAGAAGTTATATGGCCCCCCAAAGTCAAGACATTTATTGTTTGATTGTAAGAAGAGTTTGCAAACCCAGGTATCCTTAAACCATTAACAATCTTTAGGTTCGAAGGTAGAGGATCTGACTATGAGAAAAGAAGACATGATCCTAGACAACACCAGCATCTAACAAGCAAGCAGCACATTAACTTTTGAGTGAGACAGGTGCTTACTGTGTAGCCCTGGCTACCTGGAGCACACTATGTAGACCAGGCTAGCTCCTGGAGCACACTATGTAGACCAGGCTAGCTGCAGAACTCACAATCTCCAAACTCTGCCTTCTGAGTGCTGGGATTAAAGGCGTGTGCCAGCATGCCCTTCAGGAGATGAATTCTATGAATAATCAAATATTACTTAAATTTCATTCATCTTGTTTATCAAACTGTTTTGTCTACTGTCATATCACTTTCATTGGCTTTATCTTTAAAAGAAGTATAGTTTTGGTCTGTAAGTAAAGGATCAATCAAAAAGGGCAAGGTAAGAAAAAAAATCAGTTAAATTTAAGAAACAGAATAGCATTCCAAGTTAATTACGACCATTTGTTTACTGAGGCCCTGTAAATTGAATGTTGAGCCAAAGCAAACACTCTACTACAAAGCTACAGCCCTAGCCAAATGACCCTTTTTTTTAATTCTCAAGATAGACACAAAGAAGTTTTTACCACAATGGATAATCTCATACCATTTAGGTATAGTTTATATTTAACATCAACAAAATGGCATTAATAACTGTCGATAGAGCTAATATTTATTTTTATCTATTATTACTTCTTGAAATAAGACCCCTATGAAGCCTAAGCTTTCAAACTTAAATACACTCTATTTTTCTGACACTCATGTAGCAATACCAATCCCAGCATCGATTTTACAACCTGTAATAATCTAAATTATTTCAGTATGTAATCATGCTGCAATTTTTTCCTCACTTCATGCAATACTTTCACTATTCATGATGTCACCTTTTCTACACAATACACATCAACACAATTTTGAAAATTCTCTACATTTATCATTATTTTACTAACAGACGAAGTACCATGCAAATCTGGCAAGGCGTCAAACACATTATATAAAAAGAAGTTACTCAAGTAAGGAACATGAATGACGACTTGGTATCTCAACCCAGCTTTACTGTTCTACTCAATATAGCTGTCAGACATTAATTTCTGAATAAACAAAACTTATGCCTTTGTGAAAAACGGCCCTAAAACGAACACAATCTACTGATAAAGTTCATGAAATAACATTATGATTACCAGGCAATATAAAATAGTATAATCAATCCTGGGTATTTTTAATATATACTTAGTGCATTTGAGAGGAGAGTAGAGATACCATGGCACCCACAGGCCCTAACTGACACAGGCGAGCGGCATGTATCTCTGGACTGAGGGCGAATTAAAACACGTTTTGTACAAAAGCACAGCATTTTCCACTACATCTTTATAGCTCTACTTATAATTTGTGGGCAGTTTCTGCCATTCTTCTTGTCTACATCAAGATATTCAGATATTTATTCCAGGAAACCATCATAATTCTTTAGTCAACCTTTCCTAACAAATTAGGTACCATATAAAACCCAAAATTACTTTTTGCTTGCATTAAAATAAAAACTTCTACCTGTAGAAGTCCCTTCTATTTTGGCCAAAAATAAAATACTAAGGTAACTTAAAAAATGCACAAACACATAACCATTCAGTCTATTTAATCCACTATTAAAACATGGGAACTTACTACTTAATAGACTATCTACTCCAGCACGCCAATCCTTATCATACCTTTCTTCCAGGAACAAAGGCACACAACTTAATGCTTGGACAAAGCCATAATCAGGTACAGTGATAAAAAGAGATAATATCTGGAAATGAAAAAAAAAACAAGATTTCAAAATTTTTGACTGTAAAAGTAAAATGTTTTTTGTCAATTACACTTCATACTTAACCTTGGCATATAAGTTTGTTTTTAAGATCCTTTGTACTAAGGCATAAGCATATCATTAATACCCAGTGATAACATGTCATAACTTGTATAATACAAACGTCACAACTCAAAGCATAAAAATCTATCTAATACATTAGCATCACTTAATACAGTAAAATGAAAACTGGTCTTGTCCCACCCAAATCACAAAAGCAGAGCCAGTACTGCATCCAATTCTGAACCACTTATGTGACCACTACAAAAGCATCTTGATGATGCTCATGCTGATATCTGAGATCCCATGAAAACCGTTCACCATGTGAGCCAGTATGAATATTCATAGTCCAGACATGAGAGCAAAGAACCAAGAAAGAGTCCAAAACTTTGTAATAACTGTTTTCTTCCACTTATTGCAAAAAACGTTTTAGTAGAGTACCTAAAAAAAATGCAAGATTCAAACTTTGCATTTAAGAAACAATAGAAAGTAGAAAGACTGTCATATTAAGTGCTCTACAGGGCAACTGCTTCAATGAGAACAATCCCAAACAAACGCAAAGAGTAGCAGTAAAAGTACATCAAAAGGGCACTGTCAGGTATTTTTTAAAATCAAACTGGATTTAGTTAAAAAAATTCCCATTTATATTTCAAAATACAGCATCTTTTGAAATCGGAGGGTGTATGTGTATATATATACACACACACATATATATATACATATGTGTGTATATATATACATGCATACACATACATACACACACAGTATATCCAGAAAAGATATAGGAAGATAGGAAGTGTGCAATAAAACCTTCGGGTTAGAAGTTTATATACAATGAGCTCACACAGTAGAAATGCACTCACTGTAATTGATGCCCTTTTATCTTTTCAAACACTAGACACATTTTGAATTGGTAATTATCATTTTGCAAAAGAAAACAAAACAAAAACCCAGTAAGGTCTATGTGATTACCTACCCCACAAAATGCCAATACCCCAAAAGTGTTCATTTGAGCTGCCTTAAGTCCTTTTAAACGTTGTCTATCCACTCTGATCATATATACTACAAAACACTCTAATCAGAGCTGTTCTGCTGTAAAAAGAGCAATTCAATCAGAATTAATAAAGAGTGCCTAAAAAACAGACTTTCAAATTAATGACGCTCCTACCACAATGTGAGTTATCACGTTGCATCCCTGAGATAATCACAGGCAGCTCAACATTCTCATCAACTAAAATGTGACTTTTTTTTTTCTATTTTCAAGACTTAAAAAGAAAATTCACAAACACTAAATGCCCCAAATTTAAACCTAAAGAGAAAACTAACTCTTAACTTTTGTTTTCTAAACTTCGAAGCTCCATCTGATCCACTGGTCTAGATAAGAGTTAAAACACATCACCATATATGCATTCAGCCCGTATCCTTGGCATTACCCAAGCCGTCTACTCAGAGACTTAACAAAGAGGACACCATGTTAAGAAGAGATTCAAGATGGACCCTACAAGTAAAAAAAAAAAAAAAAAAAAAAAAGGCCAGCAACAAAGACATCCATCTGCCACTGGGTGTGGTTGGGGGGTGGGGGTGGGAAGTCTGCCAAGAGGAGCACTTTTTTGCCCAACTCTGAAGAGGGCGCGGAGTGCGTGCGCCAGGGAGCGGGGAGTCTGTGCGAGGAACAGCCCCCAAGAGCCCTAGAATGGGCCCGCAGTAGGGATGCCGTCGAGGCGGACCGGCGAACCTACAGCTCGAGGGGTGCGGGCTGAGGGCTGTCCATCCCGTTCGCACCGGCCGCGGAGCCCGACCGGGGATGGCTTCGCGCGCCGAGCGCCCCGAGTCGCCCCCGAACCCCACGCCCGATCCGCCCCTTTCCCCGGAGTTCCGCTGCCCCTCGGGCGCGCGGAAGAACACCGTTGCCGCGCTCGCCCCGGCCCCGGGCGAGGAGCTTGCAAAGCTCCGACAGACAAACTTACAGCAAGCCCGAGCAGAGTCGAGAGCGGCCGGCTCGAGCCGCTGACAAGAGCCCCGGCTTAAAAAACACGGACTTCTCTAGAAAAACTTTGCTGCAAGTTGGGCGGAAGCGCTGAATGGACGGGACTATTTAACATGGGCTTCCTATCACAAGAGGCGGATCCCTACATCTTTTGGGGGGACCCTGATAACCCTCGGACTCGCCCCTTGCCCCCTGCTGTCTTTCTGTGCGCCCCGCCATCCTAACTGGTCTTGGCGGCTCCGCACTACAGGGAATACCTGTCGTGGTCCCCATTGCCTGCGAGTCCCAGATGGCGGCCATTACCCGTCCATCCGGGTATTTCCGGAAAGCCGAGCGCCGCGCTGCCGGCAGCGCACGCTGCGGCGGAGGGATCCGCGCTTCACCTGAGGCGAGCGGAAGAGAACGGCGGCCGGAAGGGTCCGCGCCTCAGCCTCACGAGAGTAGGCCATGGCGGGAGTCCACGGCTTGGGGTCTCCCTGGGTCCCCCCTCACCACTGTCCCTGCGCTCACCGGCGGCGGGGAGCCAACTGTCCCTGGAAGAGCGGGAGAAGGCCACTCTGTACCCACCAGAAGCTGGGTGCGCTTGGCAAGCCTTGGCTGACAGGAAATGGCCTCCACACAGAGGGTTTAACCAGCCCCGTCTTAGCACATGGCGTCTTCCTACTACTCACTCGGACCGTGCAAGTTTTGGTATCCCTTGAAGTCTTGGTCTATGGAAGAAGCTACGGCCCACAGAGAGCCCACGCTGAGCTCAAAAGCGGGGTCACAGGCTACCCTGAGGGATGGTCTCCTCACAACGCGCCAGGCGACTTCATCCTAAGGCGGGGAGATGTCGTCTGAACTAGGAAGTCCTCTCAGCGAAGGAATCCCCGGCCCACTCACGCACAACAGTCTCAAAAATGGAATCCTTGCTCCTGACAAAAGAATCCGCCCCCTACGTCATGCAAGAGTTGTACAGACTTCATACATGGCTCCTCTCTTTCAAACCATTTCAGAAGCTTACTCACCTCACTTGGTGAATAAGCACCTAACTTGCAAAAAATATGTCGAAGCACGTGGCAATTGCTGTCTTCAAAAACACTAGGCGGAAGGATATAACAAAATAATAAAACCGCGAAACTCTGAGAACTTTGGCTTCGACTGTGTACCGTAGTTTTTTTTTCTTTTTTTTTTTTTTTAGGTTAGCTTGGCACTTACAGGTTTTTCTTTAAAAACAGCTTGAAAACTTTTAAGTGTTTTCCAATCTCATAGAATATGCTTTTGAACACAATGACCTGTCGCCACAAAAGTTTTCCTCCACCCTTTAATTAAAAACCACACAAAGAACCCCTCAGTTTTGGGTGGTACATACATTGGTGGACAGAAGTCCTCCTAGAAAAGGCATGCTGAAATTCACATGAGTAGTACAAATAGAAAGCCAAAGGAGAAATTTATTAATACCAAAGGGCAGTATATTATGAGGACTATTTTCTCTTTAACAACACAATATTTGTATTGCTCCAGAAAGAATACATATGCCTGAGGAGAGAAGAGGAAAATATCTTGTTTGGCTTTAGGGTTTTTCAAAACCATGTTTCTCTGTGTAGCTCTGGTTGTCCTGTAATTCTCACTGTAGACCAGGATGGCCTCGAACTCATAAAAGAACTGCCAGCTTCTGCCTCCCGAGTGCTACCACACCTGGCTAAACAATTTTCTTTTCTTTTCTTTTCTTTTTTTAAGTTTTCCGAGACAGAGTTTCTCTGAGTAGTTCTGACTGTTCTGGAACATTCTCTATAGATCAGGCTGGGCTGGCCTTGAACTCATGTGGATCTGCCTGCCTCTGCCTCCCAAGTGCTGGGATTAAAGTTGGTACCACCACCACCTGACTTTTTATTTTTAATAGCAAAAAAAAAAATGTTGGTAATATGGGTAGAGTTAATTATCAAGAAAATGCTTCACTGTGCTCTGAAGCATTCCCATAAAATTCCGTGTGTGTGTGTGTGCGTGTGTGTGTGTATGCACGTCTGCATGTGTATGTATATATACGTGTATATATGTAAAGTCTTGAAAGCCTGCATTTATACTAGAAGATTCAAAATATACATGCTAAATAAGCTAAAACATTGTTGAACTCTTCCTCTTGCCCATTTTTTATTTTTATTAAACAGCTCTCATTTTATGCTCTTCTGAACACTGAAGCTAACAAAAGTGAAAAGACAAGGAGATAGTCAGAATGTAAAGCTTCATTCTATAATGCTTCACACTTAAGAAGGATAACTAATGGGAATAGGATATCCATAGTAATGCTTTCAGGGGTTGGCTGCTCTGAAGACCAACATGTTATAAAATGACATGAGTAATAATTCTGAGCTTTTCACAGTAACTCTGGTGGTGACAGTCACAAAGATTGCTTCTTGCTTACAAATATTTTGTTAATGTATTATTAATTCATGAACATTGTACCATAAAACAGGTTAACATAAGACAATTATATTTTCTCCTAGAAAGAAATGGATATAATGCATTTCACTTTGGGCATTTTGTCCTCTGAATTGTGTGACATCATATCATAATAAAGGTCACAAGCTAATACACATTTGCAGAAAAGTAAGCATGGCTTGGAACACCATAAACACTGTAATCATAATGAAAAGATGAGATGTTTAATTTTTTTTTTTTGAGACAGGTTTCTCTGAGTAGTCCCAACTGTCCTGGAACTTGATCTGTAGACCAGACTGGCCTTGAACTCTAAGATACACCTGCCTATGCCTCACAAGTGCTAGAGTTAAAGATTTGCGCCAGTACCTCCTGCAAGATGTTTACTTTTAAGAGCAAAAGTCTCCTAAAAGTGAGTCCCTTTCTCTTCCTCTTTCAACTCAAGCCCATGCTCCTGGCCCCAAAAATATAATCCAGTGCATCTGGATTTGGACAAAGAAGACAAAAAGAACCTGGGTGATCTAACATAAAGTGGACATACCCATTGATCAAGGGTATTATGGATTGGTCACTAATGATAATCTGTAAAATAGTAGCTGAGCCTCAAGTGCTATCTTTCCCAATGTTATTTTCTTTTCTCTTCTTTTCTTCTTTCTTTCTTCTCTTCCTTCTTTCTTTCATCCTTTGTGTGTGTGAGCAGTGAACTTTACTGGCATAATTTAGAGAGCAGGGCTCCCTAAAGCCCTCCCTCTTCTGGGGTCTAGGTTGGAAACTGTTAAGGGAGATACTCAATGTTAGGGGCTGAGTTGGGACAGGGACTCTTTAGCAGCAAGGACTTCTCTCTTCCTCTCATGTTCTTGTTGGGGTGGGTGGTCCAGCGCTTCTTACTCCTTGACAACCATGCAGGCCCTGAAATCAAATCAACCACTCTGTTGTTGTAGCTATATTCATTGTCATACCAGGCATGAGCATCACAAAACTGTCACTGAGAACAATGCCAGTCCCAGAACCAAAGGTGCAAAAGTGGGCATCCCTATTCAAGTCATAGGAGACAATTTGATCCTCAGTGTAGCCCAAGATGCCATTTAGTGGGACCTCCAATTCCTGCTTCTTGGTGTCATCAGATTTGGCAGCTTTCTCTGGGCACAGGTCAGATCCAAAAAAGACACACTAAGTTTAGAAGCATGGAAGGTAATGCCAGTGAGCTTGACATTCAGTTTTGGAATGGCCTTGCCCACAGCATTGACAACACCAGTGGGTGCAGGGATGATGTTCTGGGTAGCCCTATAATCATCATACTACAGCTTCCAGAGGGGTCATTCACAGACTTCTGGGTGGCAGCAATGGCATGGACTGTGGTCTTGAGTCCTTCCAAGATGCTAAAGTTGTCATGGATGACCTTGGCCAGGGGTGAGGGGAGCTAAGCAATTGGTGGTACAGGAGGCATTGCTGACAATCTTGAATGAGTTGTCATACTTCTCCTGGTTCACACCCATCGCTAGCGTAGGGGGTGTCAGCAGAAGGGGCTGATATTCATCAACAGAAGATGAATACCCTTTTGACTTCACCATTCAAGTGGATCCATGTTGGTGAAGACACCAGTAGACTCCACAACATACTTGGCAGCAGCATCACCCCATTTGATGTCAGTGGGATCTCATTCCTGGAGATACCCTTCCTATTCATGATAAGTTTCCCATTTTCAGCCTTGACTGTGCTGTGGAACTTGCCATGATAGAGTCATACTAGAGCATGTAGACCATGTAGTTGAGATCAATGAAAGAGTCACTGAAGGCAACAATCTCCACTTTGTCAGTGTTGAAGGCAGCCCTAGTAATCAGGCACCCGATGTGGCCAATCTGTTCACTTCAACCTTTAATATTGTGCCCTAAAATATGAGACAGAAAAGACATTTAAAATTCTTTTTTATTTTAGCATCTGACATAGAAGGAAAGAGAGAACTGAATGACTTATGGTCAGGTCATTTTGTATTTCACTGATTTCCTAAAAGGAAGGAAAAATTGGACTGTAGCAGAAAAGAAAGTGATAGAGTTGGGGGAAATGGTTCCCCAGT